ACAATGAACACTGAAGGAATCCTAACCAAGAGGAGCTGACTGCAATGACGACAATGGTTATGAAGACTCCCATGATCCAATGCTACTTCACTACCTCATCAAACTTCGTCGTTTGTTGTTGTTTTTGATGCGAGAGACCCTGTAGCGGGAGAAATTACATATTGTACGTTTAACACAGTAAGCTCAAAAACTCATCCTGGGTACATCCCTTGTTTGTTCCCAGTATCCAATTAATTGTATATTGTGTGCACTACATAAATGATGTTCCAGAAGGAGTAAAGGTCCACCAACACAAGCTCTTTTTCCGTAGCTGATGAATTGCCTTCTTGTGTCATAGAAACGCAGAAGATCTCACGCATTGCAAAAACTTCACTTCTACAACAAGTGTAGTTGTACACTGGCCTCAGTTACACAGTTTGGTAATGATGATAGCTTTATTTTCTGCCTGTAGCTGCTTGGGATGTTCTAATTCATTCGACAACAGCATGACGGTTTTCCCGTAATTACACTGCATATGTCTTTGTATGTGTGTCATCATGTGTATTTATGTGCCTATTCACCCTTGTGTGAAGAACCAGAATACAGACAGATGGTTGTTGGACGTGTTTGCTGAGTGTTTACTGCTTATTTCAGGCAGCTGCTGTGTTCAGTGGCACATGCAGCAGCACTTAAACACAGCTTTGTGTGTGACATGATGTGGGGTCACAACAAGGCGATTCACTCCTCTGCAGCTATTTTTATACAGGAGCAAGAGTGTATGGAGTGACCTGAGCTGTTTGATCCTGATTTCCTGCTTGAGCGAGATTGGGCCCTAATCTGATCGACTCTATCATCCTGACTGTCAGAGGTCCCAGGTCTCAACTCCCTATTTTACAATAAAATAGTCTCTGACAGATCTATTAGCTGCTCATCAGTGAGATTGTGGGCATATGTAATCTCTTAATCTACAGGAAATCTCTTCCTGTTCATGGACATGAAGGATGAGGATGAGGAATTTGTTTTAAATGCTGTCTGTTTCTAGCGCAGCAACTATTAAAAAACAGGCAAGGCAGTACCATAAACAGATCCTTTACTAAGTGAGTTTTCGTTTTCATTTTCATTTCTCAGAATTGCTATGGTGAGACAGATTTGCTGTGATTTGCGGTGAAGCTGTAGAGAAAGGTTATTCAAGCCAATTCTAGCTCTGATTTTACGGCATCCCTTAAAAAAAGAGTAGAAGTCAGTCAATGCTATGCACATGCTCTTCAGCAGATTAGGAGAAATTACAGTGGAGACTCAATTAAGAAAGCTTATATAGCCAGAGGCCTATGAGAATGTCATCAAGTAGTGACAGAGGAGGCAGAATTACACTTTGAGATTACTTATTACATAAACTGCAAACACACGCACAAAGCCACACATTTAATTATTCACCGAATGAACTACAAACACATGCATAGCAATAAGAGAGGGGGAATCAGCATGCACAGTGCTGCGCAGTTCAGGTATCAGTATAGGAATAACAATCAGTGGAAGAGCCTGGCTCTGTTTGCCTCCTTGTGGGATGACGTGTCTCAGCAGAGTTGCTGACGTCAGAGCCAGCGAACTGAGGCGCATGCACTTGCTGTGTGTTGGCAAACTGTGGTGATGTTTTGGACGAGGGCTTGAATAAACATAGCCTCTGCTGTTGCTTTGAAAAGACTCATTTACTCCCACCACGAGCATCACAATGTAGCAGCATTAACTCTTGCATAGGATTTAGGAAGTTTGAATATCAGTGGACACATTGGGTTTCTCAAGACTATGGTCTTTTCTTTTCTCCTATACAACCATTGTTTTATTTTTTGTCATAAAGCTTTGCAAAACTGTGCTTTGGAGGAATTATTTTATCCGTAACAGATGGCACTACTGAGACAATCAGACTGTAGAGGAAGACTGATTATCACCCAGTCAGCTTGTCTATGACTGCATTTACATGCACACTAGTATCATGGCTATGATCTGGTTTTTGGAGTATTCCTGGTGATGTGTTTTGCATATCCTAGTTTTTAGACACCTAGATATGCTAGCTGGAGTACCAGGATATTGTGGCATGCGAATTCCTTTGTTGGTGCAGAACATACTGACTGAGACACAACTGCATACAAATGATCAGAAACCTGGATATATAGTTAGAATCAAGTGGGATATGAAAAAACACATTTTCCATGTAAACTCCATATGCTGAATAAGATCAAAACTGAATACTACAGAGGATTAAACGGATGTTCTGTAATGTTGCATGGAGCAATTAAGAAAATAAACACACCAAATAACACCAACATTACTTATGTGGATATTTCTTTTGGTAATGCTTTTGAAAAGAGAAAGTCTGCTCTCTTAACAATGTTTTTCCTTTGGATACAAGATGTTAATCAGGGTTAATGGATTTGCTCATCCAGATAGTTGAACATGTGTTTTTGGATGACATAGTGTCTACAGACTACAGAGCATTTCAGTTTTCCTGAGCATTTCCTTACGGACACACAAGTCTTCTTCTGTTTCATACCACAATGGTGCTATGGTAACTGGTGTTCAAGCCTGTGGGGCTGAACTCAATTGTTTTCGTGCTCATTCTCATTTCCCTTGATTTCCTTGGTAATAATTATTGGTGGTGGCATGTCACTTTGCACATTTAATCCTAATACGCCAGATGGTTGTATTAAGATTTTGGACAATTATATAGTTGATGGTTTTGTTGACATTTTTGTGTAAATACATTTCACGAACACACAGGTTATTTGTGTATATTATTACATAAATGACCATGAATGTCAGTGAAAGTCATGAGTGCTAACATTATATATCTGTAAAATATTTACTTATATATTGTCCGCAGCATTTATATCTTCAACTGAATCTGCATTATTTCAATACAAATATTTTTATTTAGTAAATAATCCCTAATATCAGAATTAGTATTTCTGCAGCCAAAACCTTGTCCTACTTTCAAAGGAATATTTTCCTCACAGCCTTTCAGCTCCCTCTGTTTCACCCTCATTTACTTAAAACTTGGAGGACTTGAGAAGAAGTTTTCTAAAAATAAGAGTTTCTGACTGAATGAGAGGGCTTTCACTCAGCTATTTCCGAGGATGCATTTCCTTTGTTATTAAACATAATGATTGTAGGAGCCACAACTCTGTCCAATTGGGTCTGCTGTTTCAAGCTCCACTGCTTGAGACCATTGAAGAGGCACCCTTGTAGCCGGACATCCCATCATGTATTGTCCTTGAATGACTCCCCCAACCTCCTCGTGATTTGTAGACTATCTGAGTGGCAGTGCGGTTCTGTGCAGTGATTTGTCCCACGAGAGGGGCCCTGCCTCTGCCATTGCTACCGTCAGCAACTCTGCTACAACTGTGCATGAATACAGGATACTGGCATTTGCTGAATTCAAGGTGGCGTCTTTTCAATTAGAGAGTGAAATACCTTTTCAGCCCCTCGAGTGGCCTGGCGAACTGCAGCCAAGGGGGCCCAGGCAGTATAATGATGCCTGGCACAATAGTACCACTGTTCTCCAACCCGTTCCCAGGAAACCGCACAACATGTGCCATTGTGCACTGTGCTTTGCTGCCCAACCACGTTGCCTGGCTTTAGCCAGAGACACCGAGAGGCCTGGCTGTGCAGTGAAGCTCACAGCAGCGTGGTTGGTGAGACAGGTTCAGAGGACTGCTAGATGAAGACCAGGGTTTATTCTCATCACACCGCGTTTGATGTGTTAAAATAATATTACAAAAAGCTACATCTTTAAAGGGTGGGCTGTGAAGCGGAAGAAGCCTGAGGGAAAAGGATAGCTGAGTGGTCTCCAGGAATGGTAGTACAGAAAACCCTGAGCATTGTTGCTATGTTGAACCCTCCTCAATAAAAGCGGAAACCAAGTGAAAAGTGACAAGCAGAAAAATGGGGCCACAAAGACGGCTAGAACTGGTTCGTAGCTGGTCCTAGCTGGTTCTTCTCTATTTATCTCAATGCTGGGGGTTCTACCATTTGTATGTGTTCCTCCTCTATGGCCCCCAACGTGCTTTCCATTATAGCCTCCAGTGCTGTTTATGCAGCAGAGCAAAGGAGATCATTCAGGGCCAGCCAGATAGGGGGTTTTGGTCAACAGCATCCAGGAGATACATGTCACAGGGGCCTTTCTGGGCCCCACTTGCCAGCTGGTCAGCTAAGACACAACAACAGGATACCCAGGAAATAGAGGCCTGACGGAAAGCCCAGTGTGTCACAGTGAACTGAAAGCTCTGTTTCCTCTGAGCGTAGGTCTGTCACTTGATGTGTCAATTATTCATGGGATTTGCCAAAACATCCATTTTACTGTCAACCCTATATTTTGGCTAACATAGGACGTAAGAGTTTTTGCTTATATGTTACAAGTGAAAATGTTTGTTAGTCTTGTCGTTTTCATACATTTATATTTAGAGTTTCAGGGTTTCACAAGAGAATGACACAGGTTTTTATTCTGAATCCCCAAAGTTTTGTGACATGTCCAAAATAGGGTCAATTTGGTCAGATTTGTCAAGCGGCCCAATCAAGCCACAACTATGTAATTTAATCACTGAATTACTGCATCTTGACAGCTCTGTTGTCATCTCTCTGTCAGCATTCAAAAAGTGATTTTGAGTTCAGTCACGTCCCAGACATAAGGAAGATACAGACTCACTGGAATGTCCTCAGGGTGGGTCCTTTATCTTCCCACCTGGCTCTTATTGTACAAAACTAGAAATTAAAGCATTGCTTGGGCCATTGCGCTTGTATGTCAATTTGTGATTCAGTTGGAATTCCTGTTATTTCTGTTTTTACAAAGTACAGTCATCATTACATTACATGAGTCATGAAATCTACGTATATAGATCTCTTTTACCAGCGCTGTAAGGGAAATACAGTAAAAAAGGACAACAGGCTTCACAGCCACTTTATAAACAAAAAAATGCCAGTATCATTGCAAAATATTATGCTAATTTACTCATATCTTTTTTCCACAGATCCCAGGAGGAAAATAAAAACTCACAGTACAAACTTTGCCTCAAACATTTACACATTTCAACAAACTGATTATTACATACACACAAAGGCACCAGAGCAAATATGAGTGAGGATAAACCGGCCGACACTGTGGAAAGTGCTCCTGCTGAGGAGAACGCTATTCCGAATGGGAAAGGCCACGAGCCCGGGGAAGAGATCACTGCATCGGCCAAAACACCACCTGCAGGGGACGGTGAAAAGTGAGTATAGTCCTACTTAACACAGTCTATGTTGATCTATTAGAAATACCTTTTTTAATTCATCACAGCTCACAGATGTTCACATTGTTTTATTCTTACAAGAAATATTTACTGTCGGTTTGAGAGTCTCTTTCATTTGAACATCTCGTCCTCTAATCCCGTTGCCCACGTTCAAAGCAAGGTGATCGGATTCTCTGGGTGCTTTTAACTGTCGTCTTAATGTGCCACTTACTAAACCTCTTCGCTCTCATGCATCACATTACACGCCGTGTGTTAACATCAAGTGAAATAGGTGTCAGGTGTAGCTTGCCTGTGCCTGTTTCTTCACTAATCATGAAGGATCAGGCTCGAGAAGGACCGGACCGTCACTTATAGAGACGCGATATAATGTACTGTATTTAGCTGGAATTCTGTATGCGTCCGTTAGAGTGATTATTAAAATATTATCTGAATAGAAGACCTTAATGTTCACAATACATTAGGGAGAGAGAAAAAATAGCAGCTAATTGTGTGCGTTGTGGTGAGACTGATTATGTCACTCTGTTGTCTGGGGTAGCTGTTCAACCTTGTCTCTAGAGTGACTGTTTCATAACCGCAGGCACAATACCGGGAACAGCAAAATACCGTATGTTCATTAACTGCCTGGTGATGTGCCTTTGAGCAAGACATTTACCTCGTACCTGCTCACTCACTGTACTATAATTTGTGCTGAATAATGGAGTGAGCTAAATGCCTTAATTATCATGTTCACTGGTTGACTGACAATATTTTTTGTGTCCTCTCTCTTTGTAATAGATGGTTTAATTAAAATGTCTCTCTCCGGGAATACAGATGATAATTTATAAATGGTCCCTTCACTGTATTATTTGCCTTATTATATTATGACTGAGGGTGTTGTTTTTCCACTTTGTGCTCTCGCTGGGTGATGGATGGCCTCTCTCTACACTGCTTGTAGGGAAACTGTACCCAATAGTGCCCCGAATGCTAGGTATGTATGTTATAATAATGATCAGAGAATGGGTTTTCACCCACAGAATAGCAACTTGTTCTAAACCAGAACCTGTAAGAAATGACTCAGTTTCTTTGAGTGTTTTTGTTTATTGTGTGTTATTCAAGTTATTTAACTGTATTTCTTTCTATTTAGTCCCCACAGAACTGAGAATACAGAGGCCAACCTGCCAGAGAGCCAGGAGTTCCTATCAGGCATTGATGACAAGAAGACCACACGCTTCACAGATGTAAGTTCAAACAGCCAACTGGCTTCTCTCAAAGATATAACATGTACATAGGCAGTGCTTGCATGTTCTCTTAGAAAACATGTTTATTTCTCTCTTTTGCCTTGCATCGGTCATAGTTTGAGGGGAAAACCTCGTTTGGGATGTCCGTCTTCAACCTGGGCAATGCAATCATGGGCAGTGGAATCCTAGGACTGGCGTACGCCATGGCCAACACAGGGGTCGTCCTGTTTTTGTAAGTTATTCATATGTAGTTGATACATTAAATAAATAACTCCATGACTACAGATTGGAAGCATTAGAATGAATGAATTGCAGCTCACAGATGTTGTCTGACTCATTTTCTTCCCGCTCTTCCAGTGGAGGTCTGCGTCACACATAAATAGTCCCTAATTGTATTGTAATTGTCTTGTATTAAGCAGGCAGCGGCCCCTGTTTGTGATACAGAACCCGATGATACAGGGCACATTTATTTGATAAATAAAGCCTCAGAGTAATAGCATACTGGAAATCATTTACTGGTGCCATAGACAAGTGCAATTTCAATCACAGATGCAAAAAATAACCACATTCTGACTGTGTGGTTGATTCTCTGCTTGAACCAGTGAGAACATGTACTGTATACATGAGGGGCTTAACATTTAAAAGCCTCTGCAGCACCATTGTCTGTCAAGATAATGACGTCACAGTCGACTGCAGCTTCCAGGTTCTTCATTTATATTTTCATGTTTTTTCTACCTGATTTAGATGGACTGGAGGCGGCGTATGTGGAATCAAAACAACAGTGTAATTTGTAATAATCATCTTAATAAGAGGAACATGTCACCCAATAGTGAGGCTTACTGATTGGTTTTACATCGTTTTGGAACATCAATGGAGCTCTATCGCAAAGAGGAATAACATCAGGCTTTAGCTACACAGACAGTACTTGCTAGCATCAGTTTATTTTTGGTTTTGATCTTTTTATGGTATTTGTTGACAATAAGAAAAAAATACAGAATATCTCCATCCTTATCCTTTAAAGCTTGTAGAGTGGCTAATAGCTTGGTTTCAGGAAAATTCTGTGTCATGTACTGCCCTTTTGTTGACCGTCCAATCAGACTACTCCTGCCTGAATCTCCTGCCATCAGGGAGAGCAGGCACAGTCAGCTAGATATTACTCATGTACCCTCTGATCATTTCAGCTAGTGGTTACAGTTTTGATTCATGGTGGCTGGATTTTGCATAAACATAACTATGGCATAATATTAGAACGATTGGTTGTTCAAGCTTTAATATCTCATTTAGGTCTTATGTGCACGTGTCACTGCATTTAAAATTTCCTTCTTGGTTCATGAGCTTTCCAGCTGTAAGCTTGATCTCTTTTGTTGCATGTCTCTCAAAAATAATCAGGCTGGTGTTCACAGTGATCTCACCAGATAGCACTAGCAGCATCAGCACTTCTCCTCATCACACCTCCTCATCTTCCTCGTGCTGTTTTGACACCTCTTCGCGATGGTGCTAGATTGTGAGGTGGCTGGGGCTGGAGCTGGCTGAGCTAAGTATTTTCTGTAACAGATTAAAGGGCACTACCGTAAGATCACTAGTATTACATTTCAAGCAGTGCCCTTTATTAAACTAAGCATCCTTGAATAAAATTACAATGTCAAGCTCCAGTGAGAGGTGAAGCAATGTTTTGGATGTTTGCACAACTCGTTGCTTGTTTTAAGTGAATTTGTAGCTGTAGTAAAAAACTAGTTTGTTCATTACCTGCAAAACTCTACAACACAAAAGTAATAACATATTCATGTTAGCGTCCAAGATTTAAATAAATCTGGGAGAAATGTGAAGCTAGTTTTAATGTTTGAGAATCACCATCCTAAAATATTATTCCAGGACATTATTGACGCTCTTTTCCAAAGCATGTCTGTAGGATTTTCTCTGGTGTTAGAAAAAGCTTCTTATTTTGAGCTGAGTTGTGTGACTGTGGTTTTTCAAGTCTGCTGTTTGGACTGGCTGAACTCTGTGTCACCGAATGCCAGTGTATTTGACACTTGGCTAGACAGGATCTGAAATGAACTCTAGCTGATTAGTCTACATTTTACTCTGATGAATACATGTAATCGCGTGCGAATTAATAGTACGTGACCGAGTGCAACAGAGAGTGTGTATTTATCCATCCTGTTACAGATGAAAGGCTGTGTCTTTGTGTGCATATCTGCATGATCTTTTATCAAACAATAGAGTAGCTACTGAGAAATACAGGCAGGGTCAGCGACATATTTGGTAAAGGAATACGGGCAATTTTTTTCTGTATTTCACATTGGACTCCAGGCTGGTGATTGCCACAAAAAAATATTTTTTCCTGGCAGCGTAGTGTGTCATTCTGAACCTTAGGTCATACTCCTAAAGGGGACAGGAGACCTACAAAGGAGATGACCATGTATGCTGAAACGCAGGGAGGTAAACAAAGGCAATATAAATGCCAACAGCAAAAAATTTGCCTGTTGCTGAATATTTTTGTTATATAGGTTGTTTTCATTCCCTCCACTGATGCGGACATCTTCTGCACATTGGACTTAGAAGGATTGAGAAGGCGGTCATTCATCCACTTCAACTTGCACACTGATATGAGGCAAGATGCATCAGTTAATTTCACATTATGTCAATGTTATGTGCATAATTGTTTATATCTATTGATTGCTAACTATAATTGAATATATTCTGAAAAGAAGGAAAATCAAGAGTGGTATTGTTAGCGTATTAAAAGGGATTAGCTGAACAATAGGCACATTTGTGATTTATATGGCGCTGAGTATATCTTGTATTGTTTTTGAAGTTGCAATACTTGGAGACTGTAGTGAGGATAAGGGTGAAGCAAGGACACCTTTGGAGTACAGAAAGAGCCACAATTATACTCATAGTCTTAAACTTAACAAGCTGTGAATGTACTAGATAACTTATTATATCTGATACATGCATGGGAATGTCCTTTGTTTCCCTTCTGGCCCGATGTTTCATTTCACACAGATTTTTGTTGGCGGGTGCTGCTGAGGCTTCAGCGGGTCAGTGGCCCCAGCCCGGGTAGGAATGCAGCGGGGTGGAAAGCTGTGAGCAGAGCTACAGTGACCCAAGTGTGTCAGTCTGTCTGACTGTCAGCAGATCTGTCCTCCCACTACCACTTGACTGACTAAATCCTCCACCGCAAGTCAAACCAGCATTCTTCCACACAGTCAGAAAAAAAAAAGGCAAACAAGGGTAAAAAAAAAAAAAAAAAGCACCCAAAAAAACCTGTTAACTGGCCAAGAGTTGAAGTCGAGATGAAAGACGTGCTGTCTGGCTTTTCCAAAAGGAGACAGGAATAGAGAGAGTGTGTGAGACAGAAAGTTAACGTCGCCAACAGTAACAACAAAAGAGGAAGAAAATAGAAAATAGTTGGAATGAGGTAGACTGGGTCGGGAAAAGTCAACAGGGACCCATTCACAAAACTTCCTCATGCTGAGGATTCTAACAAAAGTCTTGTGATGTTTCTTCTCCCTTAAAAATAAATATTAAATAATAAATCTTAGTAAACAATGTTTGCAAGCCATCAAAACACCAATAATGGGTGTAGTTTCAAGTTTTCAAAGTGTTGTTTGGTCACTTACAATCAGCTGTGTTGCGTTCTCATGTTTAACAAACATACTTATGTAGGTTTGCTGATACAGACATCATTAATTAAAAATATCTTATCTAATTAGCATCTTTACTATGGCTGTGTGTCATTTTTCAATACCAGTGCCAATATGTTCCTTGAAATTATAAATATTGCTTTGAGAAATATAAACATTATCTGCGAAACCCTTTCTTGTTTTAATTAAAGATCCAAAATGTAAAATCTTTAATTAACACTAACAGCCATACAAGAACTTAATTTAATACTAAAAATGGCAGCATTTTTATTTGAATTAGGAACTATCTAAT